ATAATAATACTAATGTCAACCACAATAACAGCACCGCCAATAACACCACTACCATCAACTACAACATCAACAAAGCAAAACTCCACGACCAAACAACAACAATGTCACATATACTTACACAACAAAATCCAACAACAAAATCACGTAAAGTGTAATATCTGTTTACATTGTTGTAACTTAACGAAAATCATTTTTTATTGTTGCTTTTATATTTTTTAAAATTATGTTGGAGGCATCTTTTACAAAAACAATTTGTTTCTTTTTTATAATATACAAGTTTTACTTATATAAAACATTTCCAACATTTCTAACATTCCCAACATCAACACGCAACAACAACACAACATGCAACAACAAAAAACTTGCGACAACAACACAATAAACAACAACATAAAATTTGTAACAACGCTCAACAGTAACGCTACTTGCAACAGCATACAATTGGCAACAACATACAAAAGCAAAACAACATATAAAAACAAAACAACAAACAGTAACAAAACAACACACAGCAACAAAAACAACACAATTAACAAAGCTCATGGTCCTCATCCAGTTAACAACACGCAATACCATCATGCTGGGTCATTGAAAATATATATATTCTCAAGACACACAAACATATTTGCACACACATACTCAAACACACACACACACACACATACATAAATACACACAGACACACGCACACAATTGAAGGACACGCACAACAAACAGTCAATGATACATTTCATGTAACATTTACTTAGATAAGCATTATCGCACAGAGTCACAAATAAAAAAAGTTCGACATAAACTTCCGCTACTAAGATAATCACAACAGTCATTGTTCGTTATAGTTTTTACTCCAAAAAATCTAAATGAAAGAACAAAAATGTGGTAAGATAAACCAGATTCAACAATATCAATCAACATCATCAACTTTGAAACAGCATCAGCAACATTATCAGTGCTACAAACATCATCATTCTCAACAATTAACCTCATTAACATCAGCAGCACATTAACAACATCAAAAACATCATCAACACATTAACAACAATAGCAACAACAACAAAATTTACAGCATCAAGAACATGAACAAAACATTAGCTACAGCAGCAAAACATTATGAAGAAGACACGGAAGGAGAAGGAGTGACGTGATAAAGTTGGAACTAATTGACAAGCCTGCTTGAGATTACACGGGCAGAAGTTAATTGCTTCAATATCCTCAGACTGATTTAATTTCCAAGACATCGTTATCATTATCAGCAGCATCATTATCACCTGTAATCTTCATCATTATCATCATTTTCCCTCTTCTCTTCTTCCTCCTCATCTCCTTCATCACCATCATCATCATCATCGTCATTACCATCAACATCGTCGTCGTCATCATCGTCATCATTTCCTGTTTCATCAACATCCTTGACGAAACTATCATTAATTCTGGTTATAATAATGCCACCAGGGTTCACATCGATGCCATGTTCTTGAGCAATTTTATTTTAATTATATTTTCAACGGGTTTCTACATGTAACGGGTAAGAAACCAAACTGTATAGATTATAGATACGTTCATAACACATTTCTTCCAGATTTTATTTGGCAGAATAGCAAAGTTGATCAAGATGCAACACATCTGTTCACACTGTTCAAAATTGTCAAAATTAAAGAATAACTTTATTAATTTTCAAAATATTAAATATATATATATATATATATATATATATATATATATGCTTGTCTTTATGAAAAAAAATTTATTTCAATAGATACCTCATTTACTCAAACTATAATAAACATTAAAAAAACAAACAAACACGTACAAATACACATACACACACAATGCAGACACTCATATGCAAACTCGTGCGAGCAGATAAGGACAACTGAATATGAAATTATGTCGACAGCAAAGCGTTTACTCCGTGACATCTAAAAAAATTTTAAAAAAATATGAAATAATACAACAACAGAAAAGCAAAAAAAACATCATCACCAACATCGTAATGTACTAACATAAGGCAGGCAGAGGAAAAAAGATGATTGCGCGTACGAAAAAGTGTACAAAGCGTACGAGACTACAAATAAACAAACAAACGTGAGAGGCATCACGTGACTTATGACGCCATCTTGTCCTGCTAAGAACCCGTCCACAGTATAAGCAATATAAAATAAAAAATCGGAAAACAAAACAAAAAGCAAAATTGTGGAAAGTTTTGTAATGAATGAGGAGGCAAATATTATAATTTGCAGAAAAATTAAATAACTAAATAAAATAAATGAATGAATAAATAAATAAATGAATTTTAAATAATGATTGATGAGAAAATTTTAAAAACTTAAGATATGAAAAATTAATCACAAAACTGAAAAAAGATTTATTTCAAGTGAGAAAACACACTCACAGGCCATAAAAAGTTGCACGACAATACTCTCGAATCTTTCCACTTACATTTTAACACCTCGACGAAACTATAAAATGCTTCTGCAATAATTTTCGGTAACTATTTTTAAGAAGTTTTGTCTTTTTGTTGTTTATGCTATTTTCTAAATGTAAAAATTTTTCAATTTAGTTAATCCAAATTAGAGTTTAATTTTCAATACGCCCGAATTTTTGTCCCATTTCAATAAACGTCATGTTATTATTAATAAATTTTAAACTTTTTAATAAACGATTACATATAGAGTAATGTTTCCCAAGCAAGAGTTGTGCCACGTTATTATTAATAAATTTTAAACTTTTTAATAAACGATTGCAAAATGATGAAAAAAAATCTAATTTTTTACGATTATATGTAGATAAAAGTTTTATTCAAACCCTTCTCATAGAGTCATTTTAATTGAACACTTAAAATCGTCCGTCATAACTCACTTTTATATATATATATATACTAGAACACGGGTCATACAAGGGCGATATAGTTTGCTGTCGGTTGAGTACGTTGCTGTTATCATCGTAGATACATTTTCCCATAACACGAACTTATAATGCACGAACGATTACGACCTCAACGTTTTTTTTTATAATTGTGCCGATTGCTCGCCATCATGCCGCAAAGCAATCTCATCTCCAAAGTCAATCTTGTCACTTTCAATGAAGCCTGCCTGACGAGGTTGAAGTTAGCCTGGCTTGTGTCGTAGGTGTTGCTCAAAGACGGAATTATTTTTATTTTTAGAAATTATTACTTTAATTATTAGATTTAAATTTTATTGTCACATCACGATAAAACAGCGCATCCATATTTCTTTAAAAATTGACCAACTGCCACAAAAGTTTAACTGGGGATGTTTCGACATATCTGATTGAAAATTACTCAATGCATTAAGATTGCATTTCTTTCACTGGTTTGATGAAAGTTGATGCATGTTGAATAAAAGAAAATTGAAGAAGCGAGGAAACTTAATACAATTGTATATGTAGTTTGGTTGCATACACTTAAACAGCTGTTAATTTTTAGCTGCGAGTTTTTGAACTGGTATACTATAAGATCCAACATTTACTACTGAACAAACCAGAAATATTAGTTATAATTTTTGTAAGGTTTTCTCGAAATTTGTTTTGAATCATCAGAAAAATGTATTAAAATTTTTTATGTATTTTATAAGAAAATTATTTTGAATAAGAACAAAATCCCCAAAAAACATAACTTTAACACAAGCACACCAATGAACATTAGTAAGCTGATGTTAAGTGCCATTGTGACCAATGAATTACCATCACATGGCTATCCATTGTAAAATGACAGATTTATCATTACAAAAATTTGTCGAATACATGTAGAATGCATGGAGTACTAATAAAATAATAATTTTCATTAATCTAAACGATAATGTCTGCAAATGTGTAACAAACATTCACCATTATTATTTTTATTACCATTATAATGCCAATGCATACCATAAATTAATTAATTTCATAACAAGGCTTTTTGTTATTTTTTTTCATCAGCGTTTTAACATTTTAACATTGAGATAGAGATGCTATGTATATATATATATATATATATATATATATATATATATATATATATATATATATATGTATATATATGACTAAAGATTTATGCGTGCACTGCAAACTTGTCAGCGTTTAAATATGCAAATGTTCGGCGAGGTGCATTGCGAGTGCAAACGTACGCACCGGTGAACCTCCTCCTTACGCATACATAATTGTACGCTGGTACACATGTGTGTGTGTGTGTGTGTGCGTGTGTATGCGTTTTTGTTTGTGCGTGTGTAGTTCGTGTGTGTGATTTCTTGCGTGTGCGTCTGCTTATTTGTTTGTGTATTTGCGTATTTGTACATTTCGTAGCGGTCTGAAACAGTATTTAAAATTTGCGCAATCATCCAGGTAGCTCACACATACATACCACCTGGATTGCATCGACTTTACATATAAAATGCTTATAAATGATGCGAATGTATCTTTACAATAGCATAACGTATTGTTATAGAGATGTTATTACATATGCCATGCATATCCATCAGAACAATAAGATCGTACTTTATGGCTGTGTGCAAACGTGTTCCTCTGTGTCTGAATGTTAAACATTTATTAATTGTATGTACCTGTTAGTTTTATGATTTTTTTGTTATCAGTTTCGTCAGTTTCAATATGGATTACAAAGCGCTGGCGTGATGATGGTGCATTTCAACATATGGCGCGTTGGTTGATTGACGGATGTGAACGAACGCAATCGAACAATG